TCCATTTCCCTTAAATTTTGAATTTTGTGGCGTACAGGTTTTCAAAGTATGACTTGATGATTCTCTGAATTTCCTCAGAGTCTGTTGTTATATCCCCCTTTTCATTTCTGATTTTCTTTATTTTCATGTTCACACTCTGCTGTTTGGTAAGTTTGGACAAGGTTTGTCTATCTTGTTGATTATCTCAAAGAACCAACTCTTCATTGGACTGATTCTCTGTATTGTTTTCCTAGTTTCTACTTTATTGATTTCAGCCCTCAATTTGATTATATCCTGATATATAATCCTCCTGTGGGAGTTTGCTTCTTGTTTTCTAGATCTTTCGGCTGTGCTGTTAATTCTGTAGTGTAACTATTCACCAGTTTCTTCATGTGGGCACTTAGTGCTATGAACTTCCCCCGTAGCACTGCTTTCAAAGTGTCCCATAGGTTTGGGGATGTTGGGTCTTCACTCTTATTGAATTCTAGGAAGAATTTAGTTTCTTTTTTATTTCTTCTTTGACCCAGGAGGGGTGCAGTTGTGCAGTATTAAATTTCCATGAATTTGTAGGTTTTCTGCAATTTGTGTTGTTGTTAAAGTCTAATTTTAACACATGGTGGTTTGATAAGATGCATCGAGTTATTCCAATTGTTTTTGTAGCTGCTGAGGTTTGATATGTTGCCAAGTATGTGTTCAATTTTTGAGAAGGTTTCATGTGGTGGTGAGAAGAAGGTATATTCTTTTTTATGTGGGTGAAATGTTCTATAGATGTCTGTAATTCCCAGTTGGGTCATTACTTCTATTAGACCCTTTGCTTCTTCGGTGAGTTTCTGTCTGGTATTCCTGTCTAGTGGTGAGAGTGGGCTGCTGAAATCTCCCACTATAAGTGTGTGGCTTTATATGTGATTTAAGGGTTAGTAATGTTTCTTTTATGAATGTGGTTGCCTTTGTATTTGGGGCATAGATGTTCAGGATAGAAACTTCATCTTGGTGGATTGTGCCTGTAATGAGTATGTAATGACATCCTTCACCTCTTTTGATGATTTTATTTTAAAGTCTAATTTGTTAGATATTAGGATTGCTACCCCCACTTGATCTTTGGGTCTATTTGATTGGAAAATCTTTTCCCAACCTTTAACTCTGATTTGATATCTATCTTTGAGGGTGAGGTGTGTTTCTTATATACAGCAGAAGGATGGGTTCTGTCTCGGATCCATTTTGTTAGCCTGTGTCTTTTTATGGGTGAGTTAAGGCCATTAATGTTGAGGGATATGAATGACCATTGATTGTTAAATTCTTCTTCGATTTGCAATGGTTGCTGTTGTTGGAATTATGTGTGGAATTTCACCCCTTTTTTCTTTTGGCTGTTGGTAGAGTTGGATTCTCTAATGCCTAAGGTTTTCTGGTTGTAGTTTACTTCCTTGGGTTGGAGTTTTCCTTCCAGAACTTTCTGTATGGCTGGGTTAGTGGATACATATTGCATGAATCTAGTTTTGTCATGGAGTATCTGGTTTTCTCCATCTATAGTGATTGAGAGCTTTGCCAGGTATAGTAGTCTGGGCTAGCATCCATGGTCTCTTAGTGTTGGTAGAATATTTTTCTAGGACCTTCTGGCTTTCAGATTTTCCATGGAGAAGTCAGGTATAATTCTGATAGGTTTACCTTTATAAGTTACTTGGCATTTTTCCTTAGCTGCTTTTAATATTCTTTCTTTATTCTGCATATTTGGGGTCTTGATTATTATGTGGCAAGGGGACTTTGTTTTTTGATACACTCTATTTGGTGTTCTGTAAACTACTTGTACCTCCCCTTCATTAGCATGTCTTTCTTAACATTGGGAAAGTTTTCTTCTATGATTTTGTTGAATATGTTTTCTACCCCTTTGAGTTGGTTTTCTTCCCATCTGTACCTGTTATTCTTAGGTTTGGTCTTTTCATGGTATCCCATATTTCCTGGACATTTTGTGTTAAGGATTTGTTCGAGTTAAGATTTTCTTTGGTTGATGAATCCATTTTTCTTAGTGTATCTTCAATACCTGAGATTCTGTCTTCCATCTCTTGTATTCTGTAGCTAATGCTTGTATTGGTAGTACTTGACAATTTGCCCAGCTTTTCTATTTCCAGCCTTTCTTCAGATTGTGTTTTTTTATTGTCTCTATTTCAGTTTTTAACCCTTGCACTGTTTGAATTGTTTCTTGCAATTTTCAGTTTATCTTTTCATCTAGTTGTTACATTTTATGAATTTTTTGTTTTGTTCTTTCTTCCATTTCTTGCATTTTTTTTAGTTTGCTTTATCTTCCATTTCTTGCATTTTTGGTTATTTTTTCTTCCAATTCTTGCCTTTTTTGGTTTGTTCTTTCTTCCATTTCTTGCCTTTTTTGTTTTGTTTCTTCTTCTTCCATTTCTTGCATTTTTGCTTCATTTTTACTTCCATTTTTTTTTGCAGTTTTGGGTTGTTTTTTCTTCCATTTCTTGCATTTTTTGTTTGTTTTTACATCCATTTCTTTGAAGGATTTTCCTACATCCTCTTTTATGGCCTCTATCATTTTCATGAAAGTGGTTTTAAGGTCATTCTCTTCTGTTTCTTTTGCATTGGAATGTTGGAGTCTTGTTGGTGAGGAGTCTCTAGAATCTGGAGGTGTCATATTTGTTTTTGTGTTGCTGAGTGTGTTTTTGTTTTTTTTTGTTTTTTTTATTTATTATTTTTTTTTATTTTCCATTTTAAATTTAGATAAGAAACAAGGTTGCTTCACAAGTCAGTTGGAGGTCCCTCTCCCTTTCCCTCCCCTCCCCCCGTGCCCTCCCCCCATCCCCCCGTTATCCCCCTCATTCCCCCAGGGAGGGTGAGGCCCTCCATGGGGGTGTCCATAGTCTGAGTGTGTTTTTGTAATGTCTGTTTTCCATCTCTTCTTCTAGTGGGTGCAGAAAGAGCCCCTTAGTGGTCTGGTGGTTAGTGGATCAGTGTTCCCTTGGATGGTTGCTAGCAAGTCCAATAATCTGGTAGTTCTTCTATTCCTCATCCTTGTTCTGGTCCTGTGGGTGGAGAAGAAGACCAGGAATCTGGGGTGTTTAGCCTCCCAACTAGTACTCTGGTCCCTTTGCTGGAAGGGAAGACTTGGGATCCGGGTTGATCCCGCTCGGATGAGAAGTTCTATGGCCTTCCCCAGTCACTGGAAAGCACGCTTGGATGTGGGGTCTTCTTTACCTGGATCTGCTGGTTTCCCAATATTTGTTTTTATATTCAAAGTTGAGTCCTATCATTGCTCTGGATAAGGCTGGACCAACTTTTTTCTTGTACACATACTGAATAAACTTTTCTCTTTTTTAAGTGCATAGGATCATATTATGTGCACTTTTCTGTTGACACATTGTTTCCCCACTCCACCAACTGAATTATAATTTCAATAGTCCTTTGATGAAGAACCTCTAACTGTTCATTTTCAATTTTTGTGGAGCCTTTGGGGTATTCTGGCTCATCCTCCTGCATAGAGTGGGTGCCTCTTCTGCTTAATTCACTGAGGTCTATTTTCCTGTCTTTGTCTTGGTAAAGCTATCTATAACTATTCTGACTCAATCCATCACTGTCCTCTGCTCTGCTATTACAATAGCAATTACAAAGTATTTTATTTTGAAAATAAATTTAATTTCAGATAAAACAACATTCTACCATAAAAACTGCATGGGTCATAGCTCTAATTGCATCTCTTTGGTGGCGCTATCTTCTGACCCATGAACGACATTTTTTTGTCATTCTTTCTACATTTTAATTTAAATTAGAAACAAGTTTGCTTCACATGTCAATCCCAGCTCCCTCTCCTTCTTACTCCCATCCTCCCATGCCCTCCCACTAACTCCATCATCTTCCCTCCCCCAGTCCTGACTCCTTTCCCCAGAGAGGGCAAGGCCCTCCAGGTGGGTGTCCATAGTCTGTCATTTCATCCAGGGCAGGGCCTAGGCCCTCCCGCAAGAGTCCAGGCTGAGAGAGCATCTCTCATTTTGGAATGGGCTCCCAAAGTCCATTTGTATGCCAGGGATAAAGACTGATCTACTATTCAAGGTCCCATAGATTGCCTAGGTCTCCTCACTGACATCCACATTGAGGGAGTCTTGCTGAGTCTTCATTCTGGAAAGAACAATAATTTTTATACAATAAAATACTTCTTAAGTGCATGGCTAGGCAAATGTTGACATCAACATATAATATATTCTTATCATCCAATAACCCCGATGATCCTTTGTTATCAATCCAGAAGCTTCTTCAGATATCACTCTTTTGCATTCTGGCACATCTGTTACTGTTCCCTAGACTTGAACTTCAAATAATGATCCACGTCTCATGTATGATGAATGTATGCATCATAGATCTGAATCTTTTCCATCTGTGTTAACATAAAGGTTTCGATAGTGGTCTTTGTGTTTTCATTGCAGTTGATTTTTAATAGAGTGTGTTTAGGTCTCTACTCCATTAATAAAGTACAGTAAAATATAACCATCATTTTGATATTGTTGAATATTTGATTATGTCCAGTATGGGAACATTGTGGTTAACATTGTTTGGAAAATTCTTGTTTAGGTTACACTTCTCTTGGGATAAATAAAAAATATATAATTAGAGCCTGGAGATATGACCTGTCAGTTAGGAGCAATTCTCAGTACCCACATAGTGGGTTACAACCATATGTAACTCTAATTTCAACTTATCCAATATTCTCTTGTGGCATCCATAGACATCAGAAACATGTGATATGTAGACATATATGCTGGCACAACAACAATACAGATAAATATAGTAAATGAAATTGAAAATGTATGAACATTATACCATGTAAATTGATCTTAAGAACAATGAAAGTACTATATCCTCACTATTTGACCAGCAGTGTGTTATTAACTACTTTAATAACCTGCCTCCAGCAATTTGGTTTTTATAAGCTTGAGTATTTAATTTATTAAATAAATACTAGTGAGAAAGAAAAGGTATATATTTTTAAATAACTCTAGAAGCTCAGCTTCCTCTCTTACGTATGAGTTGTGAGAAAGTGTGCCTTTCTCTTGTGGGACAGATGTCATCCAATTTTCTTCCACAAGGGACAGACATTTTTCTTTCTTGTGTGGCATGCATCTCCAGCTGGTGTCATAGTATTTCCAAAGGGACACAAATTGGTCCGTAGTTAAAAAGGGTGTAAAACCCTATTCTTTCCTGTGTGGGCAGGTCTTCTGGATGCCAGGAGCAGCCCTGGAAGATTGAGGGGATGGGGGTCGAGCAGGATGGGGAGTGTCCCACATGAAGAAACTGGAGAACAGTCATACTTGAGCTGAACGTTCTAGAACAAAAAGAAGCAAACTCACCCAGGAGGAATAGATGCCAGGAAATAATCAAATTGAGGGATGAAATCAATCAAGTAGAAACCAGGAGAACATTGAGAAGAATCAATGAAACAAAGAGTTGGTTCTTTGAGAAAATCAACAAAATAGACAAACCTCTGTCCAAACTAACCAAAAGACAGAGAGAGAGCATGCTAATTAACAAAATCAGAAAGGAAAAAGGGGACATAACAATGGATGCTGAGGAAATCCAGAGAATCATCAGGGCATACTTTGAAATTCTGTACTCCATAAAATTTGAAAATTTAAAGGAAATGGACAATTTCCTGGATAGATATAACTTGCCAAAAGTAAATCAAGAGCAGATAAACAATCTAAACAGACCTATAACCCCTAATGAAATAGAAGCAGTCATCAAAAGTCTCCCAAACAAAAAAAAAAAGCCCAGGCCCAGATGGCTTCAGTGCAGAATTCTACCAGAAATTCAAAGAAGACTTCATTCCAATACTCCTCAAAGTATTCCACACAATAGAAGCAGGAGGCTCACTGCCAAATTCTTTTTATGAGGCTACAATTACCTTGATACCCAAGCCACACAAAACCACAACTAAGAAAGAAAACTATAGACCAATTTCCCTCATGAACATCGATGCAAAAATACTCAATAAAATACTTGCAAACCGGATTCAAGAACACATCAGAAAAATCATCCACCATGATCAAGTAGGCTTCATCCCAGGAATGCAGGGATGGTTCAACATTAGAAAATCTATCAATGTAATCCACCATATTAACAATCTGCGAAAGAAAAACCACATGATCATCTCACTAGATGCTGAAAAAGCCTTTGACAAAATCCGGCACCCCTTCATGATAAAGGTCCTAGAGAGATCAGGGATAACAAGAACATACATGAATATAATAAAAGCAATATACAGTAAACAAACAGCTAACATCAAACTAAATGTAGAGAAACTCAAAGCAATTCCTCTAAAATCAGGAACAAGACAAGGCTGTCCACTCTCTCCTTATCTCTTCAATATTGTACTTGAAGTCCTAGCTACAGCAATAAGACAACAAAAGGAGATAAAGGGGATACAAATAGGCATCACCATACCTGACTTCAAGCTCTATTATACTGCTATAGTCCTGAAAACAGCTTGGTATTGGCACAAACATAGGCAGGTAGACCAATGAAACCGAATTGAAAACTCTGATTTTATCCCACACAACTATGAACACTTGATTTTTGACAAAGAAGCTAAAACTATACAATGGAAAAAAGAAAGCATCTTCAACAAATGGTGCTGGCATAACTGGGTACTGGTATGCAGAAGACTGCAGGCAGATCCATGTTTATCGCCTTGTACAAAACGTAAGTCCAAATGGATCAAAGATCTCAACATACATCCAGCCACACTGAAACTTTTAGAAGAGAAAGTGGGAGATACTCTTCAACGAGTTGGTACATGAAACCACTTCCTGAATATAACTCTAGTGGCACAGACACTGAGATCGACAATTAACAAATGGGACCTCATGAAACTAAAAAGCTACTGTAAGGCAAAGGACACAGTCAACAAGACAAAAAGGCAATCCACAGAATGGGAAAAGATATTCACTAACCCCACATCTGACAGAGGGCTAATCTCCAAAATTTACAAAGAACTCAAGAAGCAAGTCTCCAAAACACCAAAGGATCCAATTAAAAGGTGGGGTACAGAACTAAACAGAGAATTCTCAATAGAAAAGGCTAAAATGGCCACGAGATACTTAAGAAAGTGCTCAACATACTTAGCCATCAGGGAAATGCAAATCAAAACAACTTTGAGATACCATCTACTCCTGTCAGAATGGCTAAAATCAAAAACACCGAAGACAATTTATGCTGGAGAGGATGTGGAGAGAGGGGACCACTCCTCCACTGCTGGTGGGAGTGCCAACTCATACAGCCACTTTGGAAAGCAGTATGGAGATTCCCCAGGAAAATGGGACTCAATCCACCAAAAGACCCAGCAAGTCCACGCTTAGGCATATATCCAAAGGAGGCAAATTCATACAACAAGGGCATCTGCTCCACTATATAATAGCAGCATTATTTGTAATAGCAAGAATCTGGACACAACCTAGATGCCCCTCCACTGAACAGTGGATAGAGAAAATGTGGTACATTTACACAATGGATTATTACTCAGCAGAAAAAAACAATGGAATCTTGAAATTCACAGGTAAATGGATAGCACTGGAAGAAACCATCCTGAGAGAGGTAACCCAGTCACAAAAAGACAAACATTGTATGTACTCACTCATATATGGATTTTAGACATGGAACAGGAGAGTGCCAGTCTATACTTCCACTGACAGAGAGTCTGGGAAACAGGAAAGAACATAAAAGATATACGTGGTACACAAGAGAAGAGAAATGAGGCAAGATCCTCTAAACAGATGGGGAACACGGCAAGGGGTAGAGGGGAGTGGGAGCTGGGAAGAAGAGAGAGGGAGAAGAGGAAGAGAGAGTAGGTCGTGGAGGAACAGGAAGATTGACTGGGGGGAAGATAGGGGGAAGAGGCAATCATAGGTTAGAAGACAGATAAGGCACCATTGTGACCTCTAGTGATGTAAAGGGATGACACCAATTGGCAAGCTAAGCAATAGTGTAGAGACCACTTCGAATGACTATTCCTGATAATGAACTTGATGTCTAAACCACCCAGGAGCCTTCATCCAGTAACTGATGGAAGCAGAGGAAAACACCCGCAGTTAAACACTGAACAGATCCCAAGGAACCCAGTGACAGAGAGAGAGGAGCGATGAGCAAATTGGCAAAGAATGGGCTGGCAAAACCAGCAGAGACAGCTGATCTGAACAGGGGATTGCTCTTGGACCCCAGACCGACAGCTGGGAGGCCAGTATGGGACCGATCCAGAGCTCTTGAATGTGAGAATCAGTGAGGAGGCCTGGGCTACCTATGGGGTCCTGAGCAGTGGATCAGTGTTTATTCCTCGAATACTAACAGACATCGTGTGTCCATAACACAAAGAGGTTTGCCCTCTTTGCCTGGACTGTTAGGGAAGTGCCTGGACCCTACCCTGAGTGAAATGATAGAGTCTAGATATTTCCTATGCGGAAAGAATTGGCAATAGGGTGGAAGGATGGGGGGTGGTGGTGGGGTACTGGAGGAGGGGAGTTAGAGGGAACTGGGATTGACATGTTAAACAAGCTATTTAAAATTAAAATTAAAAAAACCTATTCTTTTAAAGCATATATACTGGCAACACAGTATGTTATGCAATAGCTGCTTAATCAGGCATGCTATTAGGAACAATATCTCCATGTTGGATTTGCAAGGAACAATAATCTCTGAAAGTGATAGAGGGACATTGTTTTAGTAGCATAAATATATTTGATCAGACAGCTCTGTATTTAGAGTGCATTGTTGAAGTCTTTTCTTTTGAGAGATCACATCTCTCCATAAGAAATCTGTCTCCATGTGCAGTCTTTCTCTGGAGCACAGCAGCATACTTCCAACACATCCTTGACTCTGTAGTCCTGCAAGAAATTTATAGGCTTCGTGTGTGTGTGTGTGTGTGTGTGTGTGTGTTTTCTTCCCTCTACTCTGAGACACAGTGGTATCTCACTTCATCAATCTTTATAGAAACAAATATGCCCTTACCATATTCTGTCTTATGCTATGTGTAAATCAATCTACAGTAATCTGTTACATTTTTATGTCTTCCTTGCCAAGAACTTGACTAACACAGGAAGCAATGTTCTTTTTGAGCAGGCTTAGAAACCATTACTTGACTATGTTGATTCTTCATCCTTCTCTACTCAAAATATTGGAATACCCTGATACCTAATTCCTTATTTTTAAATACTTATCCATTAGAAAGATTTCCAACACAAATTAACTTATTATGAAAGCAAATATCTATGTCCACACTTTTGTTCTGGTCTTCTCTAAGGATACTCTGTTATACACAAATGTATGATTAGGATTTTGATTTATGTCCTCTGAGAGCTCATACACCAAACACCTGTGTAACTCCTGAGAGACATAGGGAGCCTGAGGATGATGTTTCCCGTAGAAAATTTCAAGTAATTGAGGGCACATCCTTTAGAGAGACATGGAGGTCTTGTTTCCTCTTATCTCTCTGTTTTTGAGGCCCAGCTACTTATATAAGCTGATCACCACCCTACAGGTACTGTCATTATCTTATTCTGCCTTACTCCTGATCCAAACTAGGTAGAGGGCATGCAAAGGAAGGGTCAACCTTATCAAATCAACTAAATAGCTATTTCTTTAAGGTGTTATTAAAATACATGTTGTCCTATTAGGGTTATTATTACTATGATAAACACCATGGCCAAAACAACTTGGAGATGAAGTAATTTATTTGCTGTATATTCCACATTGTAGTCCATCATAGAAGCTAGTCAGAATAGAAACTCAAGCAGGGCAGGAACCTGGAGACAGCAGCTGATGCAGAGGCCATGGAACAATGTTGCTTCCCGACCTACTCCTCCTAGCTTGCTTACCTATTTTCTTATAGAACCAAGGACCACCAGTTCAGGGATGGTACTACTCACAAAGGGTTGAACCTTCCCTAATCAAGCACTAATTAAGAAAATATTCTATAGACTTGCCTACAACCTGGTTCTTTCATTTCAGATGACTTTTGTTTGTGTCAAGTTGACATAAAACTAGGCAGAAAACATGTTAATATCTAATAATCAAATCCTCAGTTCCAACAGGTGAAACTTCATCGAAAAGTTTGAGGAGGCTTATTAAGTCCCTTTATATATTTTGACAGTTAATGAGTTTTAAAAAGATGTCCAAAATTGTTTCACCTGTCAGGGGAAAATAAGATTTGTTTTAGAGTCCATCCAGATATGGTTACTCTCATGAAATAGGTAAGAGCCATGATGGATT